TTTATTTTATTTTATTTTATTTTATTTTATTTTATTTTATTTTATTTATTGAGAACCGTCCATTGCTTTACTTGGTAAGTATGCTCGTTTCATTCCCTCCGGCAGTGCCCTAAGTGCTCCTTTGCCCACATCCCCACTGACACGGCTTGGTTTTCTGTGTTAGCCCTTATGAAGAGGTGAGACGGAGCTCAGTGCAGTTTGCGTTTGTGGTTTCCCATGCCTAAGTGCTGTAACAGCACCTTTTTAAAGAAGATAGTAGTAGTTTTATTTGTGCTTTTTAAAGAAATTATCTGCGGAGTTTTTTTAATTTTATGAATCTTTTCTACAGTGACCTAGTCTATTTAATTAATAAACTTTATTAGTTACATCACATAGAGTTTTGCTTCCATGTCAGTTGTTAATAATACTTAATGATAACTAACACTGTTCGAGTGTCAGCTCCTCTCCAAAATGCTTTGTATACTTAATTCTCACTTCGCAGCTGAGATAGGCAATTGCCTGTTTTTAGAATAAGGAAATTATGTTACAAAGAAATGACATAGTTTGTTCACATAACTTTATGGAGCTTTGTGCATAGCAGAAACAGATATGAATTCCAACAGCCAACTCCACAGTCTTGAGTTTTAATGATGAAAACAGTATTGGTCTTGACCCTTACACACAGTTTTGCTTTCTGCTTCTTTTTGATGAACATTTACAGTATTTTATGTTAATGACAGAACAGTGTCTAGTGTTGTTGAAGAAGTTTTTCTTTACACCACCCCACCCAACAAAACATGCATCTAACACTAGTTTCCAGGTTATTTCCCAACAAGTCTACAACTCACACTTCCTAACAACCACCAATCAAGAGGAAAGCAGAAATTAAATATATGGTTTGGCTCCCAGCATCAGCTAATTATATTTAAGGCCATAATGGCCTCCCAATCAGGTGTGGGTCAGGCTAGATACCCCCTTCTAGCCTCTATAAATACTTGCTGAAGCTGGGCTCGGGGTCCCCTCCTGTTCTCCTGTGTCAGAGATGGTGATGTGGCCCAAGCTCAAACTTATAATAAAGAGAACCTAGTGTGCTTACATCAAAATCAACTCCTTGATGGTTTCTGGGGTTCGCCAATGCTTCCTGCACAACATTATAGGTTAAAAAAAGTCACCAGTCTTACATATGGACTTATGTAAGGAAAGGAGAGCTAAGGAAAATGTTTTTTGGTTGTTACATCATCTCTTTGTTTGAAATGTGTGCTTGATTGCTATAATGTTTACAGTCTATCTCTGTTTAATCTGATTTCCAGGTAGTTTCTTGTAATGTAATGTTGATACTTAACAAAGCCTAATTAGATTGATGCTTATTTTGGAGACCAGAAAACACAACAAAACAGACCAAAACAAAACAAAAAGGCACTATACTGTGTCTTCCCTTTGGGAAATTCCACTAGTTTCTTTGAGGTACTAGATAATGGTGAGTCTATACGACCAGAGAAATGTTAGGTATTATATATTGGGTCTTTGCAGACTTATGGCAAAATATATATACATGAAGGTTTGAGATCTTCTATTGTTACAACAGCCAGAGTCTTGAAATATTATTTTGTTCAGGATTATATGACTTTTGTCATATCAGTTGTGGCACAAAGTTGCAAACATAAAATAATTTCCATTGTATTTCTTATTACAACTCTAAGCCGGACAAGAATAAACAGCAATTTTGAGTGAGGTCAGAGGAACTTGAGAAATAAGAACCAAATTGTGGATAGGAATATCTTTCATTGCTTTCTGGAACTGCAGTATGAGAGCTACCAAAAGACATACGAATGAGTTGTAGTGTTCTGCCACACAGAGGACAGTTATAGTTCATATTAATATATACTTTATAAGGGCTAAAAGAGGTGCTTGAAGTCTTATATAACAAAATAAGGTTATGCAAATAGGCTGATATAATTAATATACATATATTCAAGTATATTATACTATACTTAAAATTACCAATGTATTAATTAAAAGAAAAAAATGTTTTAAAGGAAACCGGAACTACAGAAACAAAGTAAAATTTGGACATTGGGTTTAGGGTCTTTCCAAATAGATACAAGGGAGTTAAGTTTCACAGACCTGAAGTAATAATTTGGTGTGATTTGTGAGGAATGAATACTGGGTACTTTCCTTTCTGCTCTTCCTTTGGTGTTCTAAAAGTCATGTTCTTGATACTATTTTGTTTTGTTTTTGTTTTTGTTTTTTTTTCTTTTTAAGAGTTCAGCCTGGTCACTGTTATCATCTGTATAATGGTCTTAGAGAAAGCCTTCTAGATGACTACCAACTACCAGAAATTTTGAGAACTCCTTTGGAAGAACTTTGTTTGCAAATAAAGGTATATTAGTTGGGAAAATTAGCAAACTACATGGATGGTGGTATTATAGTTTCACCATTTTTAATAGAGAAAGTATAATATGAACCTGCAAAAAGGGATTATTTTTATGAACTTCATTTTACTTGTGTGAGGAAACTACTTGAACTTCCTTCTTACGTATATCAAGTAGTTGTTAATGTTAGAGTCAGGGTACCTGTGTTTGGTTCCCCTTTCTACCTAGAAACTTTGCTTGACTGAGCAGATTGCTGTACATAATTCCTAAACAGTGTTGGACATGTAACAGTCAGTAATGTCACCTACCCTTTCTAATTTTTATGGTTCAGTGAATTGAGCCACAGCTTTCTATTTGGCAAGCTCTGCACCAATGAACTGCATTCTCCCCTTTGTTTTTTGGACTTGAGATGGTCTCAGTAATTGGCTCCAGCTGCCCTTGAACTGGTGATCCTCCTGCCTCAGACTCCTGAGTAACTGGTATTACTGGTATTATAGTCCTGTGCCACCAGCTCTGGCTAGCTATTCTTATGTCTTCAGATATTATATACCCCCCCCCCTCTCTCT